ACAGGCGACTTGTTTAATTATCATGCGAGAATCGTATTTCCTTTTTCTTTTGTTTCTATGACAGTATTATATATCTACTATATAATCTTGAAATCTGTTTAATTCGAAATAATGATCTCAATTATTGGCAACATATAATCCCACTCCCGAGGATATTAATCATTTATTTATTAATCAAATATTGTTAAAATTCATTTGGGCATTTGTGAGCGAACAAAGTGTTTTATATATACTCACGTGATGAGTACGGTATAAAGTGTGCCTGAAACGACATAGATTTATAATAAAATTTATAAAATTATTCATCAAAGTCAGTCAGGAAGCTTAGCAATATCATATTAATAAATATGATAAAAACAATGGAAGTATAACGTAATAAAGTCAAACTTAGATGTAACTATTTTCACCCTGCATTATTATGGTATGACAAATCAAATGACATGGGATTAATCTAATAACACAATCAAGTGAGGGAAAACATATAATATTTACTCACATCACCCTGGTTTTCCAATGCAATGATTGTCGCAACGATCAGTAGAACTCGGATCATCTTTGTATTTGGAGAACGTCTACACGCGCTTCATCAAAAGTTGTAAGTGGTGTATACAATTGCAACTGTGGGCCTTCAATTTATTCTGTGAGTCTCTATTGTCATAAGTTTGATTGATGTGGATTTATGTGTCTCAGCTGTTTTACGGATTATGCGTGGATATTTGTTGGCGTGTGTGTTTCACTGATTGAAGACCTGGAACATTTTAGTTTTGCAGATCACGAAATGTGTTATGGGAAATTTATATGATGTTTTTTCCATTGATGATTTGTTAGTCTTCAATCTAACTGTTTCTTACTGTATGATATAGAATAAACAGTTGAATATACTACTATGGTTGGTGAATACACATACACATCAATGAACTACACATCAATATGTACCCTTGAATTGAGCGACAGACGACATTGAATAAGAATATTCTGTTTACTGCACAAATAAATATACGTAGAACAATCGAATTCAGCGAAAAGTTGAATTAATGATTTGTTATTCTACAATCTACGTATTTCATGTTAGATTTAGTCAGCGTTTCATATTTATTTGTTTGATTGATGTATCTGTCTCACCTGTTTTGAGGATTTGTCGGCGTTTGTTTGCGTGT